ACCATGACCTCCTGGTTCATAGTTCCATGCTCAACCACTGAGCCACACCAGCTGGGCTTTAGGATCTTTTAAATTCTTTTTCTTCTGGTTATTTCTCCATTGATATTTAAAGAGAATGGAAGAGAGAGAGAGAGAGAGAGACCAAAACATCGATGTGAGAGAGACACATCAATTGGTTGCCTCTAGCACAGCCATGACTGGGCCTGAGGATGGAGTCTGCAACCAAGGTACATGCCTTTGACCAGAATTGAACCCATGACTCTTCAGTCCGTGGGCCCACACTTAATCCACTGAGCCAAACCAGCTAGCCTAAATTCTTTTTTAAACTATTTATCTTTATTGTTGAAAGTAATACAGATACACCCTTTTCCCCCCATTTACCCCTTCCAGCTTCTCCCCTGCCCAGGCCTTCACCACACTATTGTCTGTTTCCATGGATGATGCACATCCTATATAATAAAAGCCTAATATGCTAAGTGTCTGGTTGGTCGGCCTTTCAACCAATCAAAGTGTAATATGCTCCAGGGGATTGTCAAGGGCGGGGAAAAAAAGGAGACATATGTAATACTTTTTGTAATACTTTAAGCAATAAAACAATTAAAAAATAAATAAATAAATATTTTTAAAAAGTGTAATATGCTAATGATATGCTAAGGCCACTCAACCGCTCGCTATGACGTGCACTGACCACCAGGGGGCAGATGCTCCAACTGGTAGATTAGCTTGCTGCTGGAGCCCTCCCGCAGTCCCTCCCTGGCTGGCCAACCTCCTGCATTCCTCCCCAGCCCCAGTCATGCACCGGTGGGGTCCTTGGGCCTGGCCTGCACCCTCTCACAATCTGGGACCCCTCAGGGAATGTGGGAGAGCCGGTTTCGGCCCAATGGCAGAACAACCGGTTACTATGACGCGCATTGACCACCAGGGGGCAGACATTCAATGCAGGAGCTGCTCCCCAGTGATCAGTGTGCTCCCAGAGGCCGGCTCATGGCTGGCAAGCACAGCAGTGATGGCAGGAACCTCTCCTGCCTCCGTGGCAGCACTAAGGATGTCCAACTGCCAGCCATCAGTTGGACATTCCCCAAGGGCTCCCGGACTGCTAGAGAGCACAGGCTGGGCTGAGGGAACCCCACTTCTGAGTGCACTGGGCCTCTAGTATACATAAAGTTCTTTGGTTAATCTCTCTCCATCCCACCCCCTCACCTCTGCCTTCCCTCTGAGATTTGACAGTCTATTTCATGCTTCTATGTCTGTGGATCTATTTTGTTCATCAGTTTATTTTGTTCTTTAGAGTCCACGTATGAGTGAGATCATGTTATACTTGTCTGACTGGCTTATTTTGTTTAGCATAATGCTTTCCTGGTCCCTCCATGCTATCTCAAAGGTTAAGAGATCCTTCTTTAAATTCTTAATGACTTTTAAAATCTTACCTTCATGTCTGCCCTCGCCAGTGTGGCTCAGCTGGTTGGTAGTTGTCCCAACCACTAAAAGGTTGCCAGTACCATTCCCAGGGTTGTAGCTCCATCCCCCATAGGGGACATGCAGGAAGCACCTGATCAATGCTTTGCACTCACACTGATGTTTTGGCCTCTCTCTCTCTCTCTCTCTCTCTCTCTCTCTCCCTTTCTCTCTCTAAAAATCAATAAAAAAGCCCCCAGTGTGGCTCTGTTGCTTGAGCATGGTCTCATGAACCAAGAGGTCACCAGTTACGCCTGGCCAGTGTTGCTCAGTGGTTGAGTGTTGACCTTTGAACCAGGAGGTTACAGTTCAATTCCAGGTCTGGGCACATGCCCAGGTTGTGGGCTTGATCTCCAGTATGAGGAATGCAGGAGGCAGTCAATTGTTGTTTATCTCCCTCTCCCTTCCTCTCTCTAAAAAAGTAAAAAAAACCCCACACATTTAAAATATCAATAAAATATTTTTAAATGTAATTTAAAAAACAAAATAAAATCCTACCTTCATGTCTGAGAAAAAAATATGACAATTTATTCAGGAGTTATTCAGAATTCTTTGGCCATAAATGGGAATGTTTGCTAACATTTAAAATTAACAGAAGAAAAAAATTTTCTAGATCAAATTGATGTCTCCTAATTAAAATATTATAAAGCAACAGTGGAATCAAACATCTTTGGGAGAAATAACTAAAGACATATATTAAGCTCAAAATGATAATGTAGTAACTTCATGCAACATGTAAGGAGCTTTTAGTAAAGTTAGACAGTATTGAGTACTTTACAGTTTTCAAGATGTGCAAGTTTAACAATATCATCTATGACAATATCTTAAAGCCTCAAATGGACCTGAGAAAACTCCTTTTTTAAAATTTAACTTTATTGTTGAAAGTATTACAGATGTCCCCTTCTTTCCCCCATTGACCTACTTCATCCCACTCCACACACCCCCTCCCCAGGCCTTCCCAGCACTAGTGTGTGTCCATGGGCTATGCGTATATGTTCTTTGGGAAAAAACCTTTTCTTGATCATTATTGAAGCTAGGTGATAGAACAATAACTTGTATTTTTGTAGATGTTTAAATCTTTCCATAATTAAAAAATAAACTATAGTAACACCTTACTTATCCATTACTAAGGTATTCCGATAATTAATTTTTCCAAACAAATTGAAGCTTGTCAAAGCTTATCATGCCCCTGCTGGTTGAAAATCATGCCAAGCTATTTTCTCCATGGGGTGATTTTCATGATGGTTGGGCATTCCATTGTTAGAGTCTACAAGCTGCTCACCAGAGTGGCCTTCCTGGTGGTGGTGTCTGAGTCTGCCCACCTTCTCCACTGGTAACCGGTCAGCCAAGTGCCTTTTCTGACTCTGACCTAAATTCCCTGAGAAAATGACTCCAGGCAGCCAGAGGCTATTGTCTCCTGAAGTGTTCTGGAAACCAACACTACCCCATTTTCTCTTCGGTATTCCAATCTTCTTGTTTAGTTTTTTTTTTTTTTTTTTAATTACAGCAGAGACAGGTTACAATGAAAATTTGTTGACATGCTTTCTTGTCATTAAGTGAGGTTTATTGAAATACAATTTATATACTATAAAATTCACTCTTTTTATTATAAAGTTCTATGAGATTTGAAAAACAAGCACAAAATAAAGACATAGAATTTTTCATTGCTTTTTTTATTGATTAAGGTATTACATATGTGTCCTTATCCCCCCATTGCTCACCTACCCCCACTCATGCCCTCACCCCCCTGGTGTCTGTGTCCATTGGTTAGGCTTATATGCATGCATACAAGTCCTTTGGTTGATCTCTCCCCTTTACCCCCACCCTC